TCGCCACAAAATCGGCTTCCTCAGATCACACCTCCAAAACAAATCTTCACAATATTAAAAATAGTCCCCCAAGTGGTATCGCTTTGCTCACTCAGTCTCTCTATGGAAGGCGTACTGCATACAGTTTCGCTGCCGGCTAGCACCGTACTGCAAACACTTCCTGGAGGCGGAGCCTAATGACGTAACCACGGGACGTACGTGATGACGCGTTTCGCCACAAAATCGGCTTCCTCAGATCATAAGGAAATATGGCATAGACCAAGCTTATCTTAAAACATACAGTATATGTGAAAGTAAAGTGCCGTGATATGTAAATATTAAACATCATATCCATACTGATTAAATATGTATCAATCTTAACCCATTAAGTGCCGTATGTATGTGAACCATATTACCAGTTACGTATATACAGATGCATGTGCTACTGTGTAATAATATGTGTATTTATAACAGATGTTGATATACTGCTTGCTATGTGAATTGTTGTATGCCTTATTGAATGGTCAGTGAACATGGTGTTGCAAAATGCAAGTGCACTGGAGATCTGCCGAGTGCCCTATTGGTGGCAGTGTAGTTGATGCTGATTGGTATGTGAAATTTTGTTTGTCTGTTGACCTATAGGGGTCAGTGTTTTGGTGTTTGTAAGACCCCATGAAAAACCCCATGAAAATTGTCAATGTACTTGACAGACCTGTAGGTGGCAGTGTTGATAGAACCACTGTTAGTCTTGATGTGAAATGTAAGTTATTGTGAATTAAACCTGACGTTGAGCCCGTGTTGGAGTTTAGTTTATGGTTATGTTTAGAACAATCTTATGTGTAATTTATATTGGCTGGTAATTGTATATGACATGTGAAGACAGTTTTGCTGTTGACCAGTATGGGTCAGAGTTGCTGATTGTTTGGTAAAATACATGACATGTGTGACATATCATGATTCCCTTTTATTCCAGAGTTTGGTCCTTAAGGGGTTAATCCAAATGCAAGGTTAACGTGAGATTTTGAGTGTGACCTGTAGGAGTCAGTGTGGTTTATGTGAAACATTGTTCGTGAGCTATGCCCCAGCATTATAGTTGTATGACAGGGAAACAAACAGTGCCCGTTTGACAATATACAATAAGTGAACATAATAGCTTAATAACAGTCATTGTAACAAACCAAAGTTCTGTTCGTGGGTTGTAAACGCACGAAACGTGTGTGTGTAGTACAATAGTAAATGCATGAACTAGTTCCCGTTTGGTAGAAAATTGCACGAACCGTGAGCCTGGTATGTCAGGGAAACAAAACTAAACGAGCAGTGAAATTCGAAATGCACGCACAGAATTGCCTAGTATGTTTAGGCAATTGAAACAGAATGTGTTCCCGTTTGGAAGTATGCTAATGCTCGAAATGAGCCACTGACAGATATAAACAAGTGAATTTAAACGAATGATATGCATGAACATGCAATGGTTTTAGGACAGATTTAGACAAAATGCAGCCGTAAAGTGAGGACCTGACCCGTGCATGGTGTTGTGGGACTGATGCCTGGCGTAACGGGTAGGTCGACTTACGGTTTGTGAGTCACTTGGACACCATCCACAACGATAGATTTAAGAAAGAATGCGGAAGGCCTGAAAAGCCTGTGGCTGAATTCCTGACACAGCTCAGCTTAGAAAACCTCATGGAGTAATCAGGTAAAATGGCGTCTGGATGACCCGGAAGTGGAAATCATTCTGATGCTGACCTCAAGCGATATGAGTCAGGTAAGGGGTGTCCCTTATATCAGGGGCGTATTAGCCGCGAGGCAAACAAGGCATTTGCCTTGGGCGGCATTTTTCAGGGGGCGGCAAAAAAGCCGCCCCCAAACGCCCAGGGCAAATGCCTAGTTAGCCTCGCGGCTAACAGACATCCCGAGCGGGCGGCGCTGGCTGCTGTGCGGCGGCTGGCGAGGGAGCTCTTCCCCTGAGCGGTCTGCTCAGAGTGAGGCTGGGAGCCGGAAGATGACGTCATATTCCGGCTCCCAGCCTCACTCTGCAGCCGGCGCGCGAGGGAGCTGAGCAGTCAGCTCATAGGAAGTGCTCCCTCGCCAGCCGCCCGCCTGACCTGCAGCCACCGGACCACTGGACCACCAGGGAGAGAGACCCCCCCAGCACTCCCAAAGGTAAGGAGGTTGGGGGGGATTTAAATAAAAAAAAAGTTAATCTGTGTGTGTGTCTGACTGTGTGTGACTGACTGTGTTTGTGTATGTATGTATGTATGTATGTGTGTGTGTGTGTGTGTCTGTGTGTGTGTTTGTGTCTGTGTGTGTGTTTGTGTCTGTGTGTGTGTTTGTGTCTGACTGTGTGTGTGTTTGTGTCTGTGCGTGTGTTTGTGAGTGTGTGTGTGTGTGTCTGACTGAGTGTGTGTGTGTGTGTGTGTGTCTGACTGTGTATGTGTGTCTGACTGTGTGTGTGACTGTGTGTGTTTGTGCCTGACTGTGTCTGTGTATGTGTGTGTGTGTGTGTATGACTGTGTGTGTTTGTGTCTGACTGTGTGTGTGTGTATGACTGTGTGTGTGTTTGTGTCTGACTGTGTGTGTGTGTATGTGTCTGACTGTGTGTGTGTGTGTGTGTGTATGTGTATGTGTATTTAGAAGGTGGGGCGGGGGGAAGGGTTGGGTGGGGGTGGCGCGGGGGGAGGAGGGAGGGGGGTGCCTGAGTTTTGTCCTGCCTAGGGCAGCACAAAACCAGGATACACCACTGCCTTATATAGGGGAGTGAATTAATTTAAGCCCCTCCCACTTACAGGCCAAACGGCCTTAAAACATATGACAAAAATAGAAAAGTTAAAAATAGTCAAAATACCTTCATTTAATATTTTAAGCAATTGTGATGGACTTTATTTTTGTCATGGAAATGCAGCTATGACTTAAAAAGACCATAGGAATACAAAAATATCATACTATATGTAACCATCATTAGTTTAAAAATAAAAAATAATCAGTGCTTATATAGAAAATTGCAGGCTACTTGTCCATCAAATTTGAGTGGATTTAGGAAAATTATTAAAATATCACTTTTAAGACATTCATGAATAGATTGCAGTCCCAACCATAGCTGTAATAATTCTAAGCAATCTAAACGTAATGGTACTATCCACAATTTGAAAAAAAATGTGGCTAATTTTAAATGGCAACTCAATTCTTTTAAACAAATCATTTTCCATTCAGTGATTCACCATTTGAAGTGCTAATCCCTCACCTCTGTAAGAAACATATAGCTTTTATTAAATATTAAATACACACGTTTCCCTATTTACATGTGTATATCATGTTACAGCTAGAAGAGAGGAAATATTGATGACTTTGCCGCAACATTGTTGATAATTTTCTGTGTGTAATATGTACCTTTTTCAAAAAAATATGATATTCATAAAGCTAGAAAGACTGGGGAGAAAAAAAACATACAAAGAATCAAATTCATACACCGGAAACATAAATCAATAATCTAGTACAAAATTATAGCTTTTTTTTCCCTTCTCTCTTTAAAACAATAATAATTTAAAAAAAACTGTTGTAGTGAAATGAAAACCAAACTATACAATTAAGGCTAAAATATCCACTTTTGACTACAGCCGAGTTGAATAATATTTCCAGGTGGCCGCTTTTTGCATAAATTCTGCAAAATGTTTCTGTCTTACTTGCTAAATGACTTTGTATAAACACATACTAGCAGTAGATCAAATGTTCTAAGGCTAAAATAGGCAGTAATGACCATGTGCCTGCTGTTATAAAAACAAAGTTTCTGTTTATAGATCGGCAGGAGGTTCGACAATGTCCACATAATTCTAATCATCATCATCATCTTGGACATCTTGGTCTAACTGGAACAGAAATTTAGAAATGTATCCAATCGGTAAACTCCCCATAAAAGTGCAATGCAAAAATAAGGGAAAAAATGGATGAAACCGTATTTACCCCTTTCACAATAAACTAAATAGATACAACAAGGATTCCTCAAAAATTATAACAAACTCAAAGTAAATCTATAAAAAAAATTTTTTTAAAAAGGGCAGTACAGTAAGTGCAACAAATACATGTAATATAAGGATAAACCCACAAGTAATGGTGAGGTTATAAGGTGATCTCATATTGCATAAACCTCTGATATAAAAACCTATCCTGAATGCTCAAAGGTGCATGTAAGGAGAATTCTAGAGATTTTAACTGTCCTGCATTTGCACTTTACCATCTGGACCAAATCAATCAGGCTTATGTTGATGGGCATTATCACCTTTTGTCCTGTGTGTTACAATAAAGCAGTTATATGATTGTTTAATAGTGTTGCACTATGGATCTCTACTATTTTCCTTAGTTTTTTCCTTTTTTTTAGTTTATTCTTTGTAGATATACCTTGGTTAGATTTAGAAATGTGTTGCTAGTAATTGGTGCATATGAGTGGACAGAGCACAAACACTTATCAGGTTTTTATGTGGATTGCTCCATATTACTCCTAGCAAGAACTTTTGTGTGATGTGCTGATAACAATATAGAACATTGTATCCATGAGATATGTAGGACAATTGTGATAAAATGATGCCTGTCCAAATACTATTTATAAGTTATCATATTTAATGCTGCATTTACATCCAACATATCCGAATTATTGACTCAACTGATTTCACATGGGGATAAGTTTAGGCCAAAGTGGACAAAATTATTTTTAAATCTAGCTAATTTTTCAGTTTAGGCATTTTGACCCAACGTGCCAATTCCTTATCTGGTCCTGACAATTCCAGATTTGATGAGTAATGCTCACATTTGTTTTTACATATTAATTTGTAATATTTATATTCATATTTATACCAGTTAGCCTCTAAATTCTTGGCCTTAAATGCTCCTTTTGTTCTCATAGTTGGACAATAAAACTATCAAACTACCTTGAAACTATGTAACGTTCAGCAGCTTTTATCGTAAACTGAAAGAAGCACTTCTTGAAAATTATTATTATTATTAAAATGATTTATTTAGAAAAATATTTCACCAGGAAGAATGAAGTAATATTTCTCAGGTTTTCAGATATGTTCTGGAAAGCCCATACAAATGTATTGTTATATATAATAGGAAACATATGCAGTACAATCATATTATTATTATTACTGGCATTTATAAAGCGCCAACAAATTCCGCAGCGTTGTACAATTGGGAAAAAGACAAACACAATAAGAACAGACTGATACAACTGGTAGAGGACCCTGATCGTAGATATATTATTACACTTGTAATATGCATATGCAATACAACTATTAAATTAGCAACAGGTGCAGTTACGTTTTAATTTAAGTTAGGTGGATGTCATTTTTAGGGTCTTCAGACTGGTGGCAAATGTGTTATTCTGGGACAGGTTATTCCATGTATATATAAAAATATAGGAGAAAACGTTGGTCACCCACCCATTGTAGATGGTGGATGCAAAGTATGGAACCAGAAGTAAAATGAAGGTCAGAAGGTGGACAGGCAGCGTGGGAGACTTCTCAGAGAAGTGGCTATGACCCAGACAAAAAAAAGGTGAAGTTAGCAAATTTAGTTGTTTAACAAATTACAACGATGGATACTGTAGTTATGTGAAAGAAAATAAAATATTACCCGTAACATTGTCTAAGTAACTATTTTTAATGGATATGTATAAGTTAACTCTCAAGTGTATCTTGTGGCTTACTGACTGAGTGGTGCTATCAGAAGACCATGCAAAGTTAGAATATATGAATCTGTAAAATAGTCCATTTGTTTTAAATAGCCTATGATTGTGCATGATGTCAAGGTTTGTTACTAGCTCTTGATAACCAGGCTAGTTTTTGGTCGATTACATGGGTTTTATGACCCAAAAAGGACTTAGAGATTGCTATCTGCCAACGGTAAGGGTACAGCAAGAAATGTAGTGAAAAGTAAGTACCCTATATACTCGAGTATAAGTCGAGCCGAATATAAGTCCAGACCCCTACTTTTACCCCAAAAAACTGGGAAAACGTATTGACTCAAGTATAAGACTAGGGTGGGAAATGCAGCAGCTACTGGTAAATTTCTAAATAAAGTTATATCAATTAAATATTTATTTACAGTGTATGTATATAATGAATGCAGTGTGTGTGTGTGTGTGTGTGTGTGATGCAGAGCCTTGGTGGGGGGTGGGCATTTTTATTATTTTTTTAAAATTATTATTTTAATATTTTATTTTTTTGTTATATTATTAATATTTTATTTTTATTTTATTATTATTATTTTAATATTATTTAATTTTTTATTTATTTATTTTTGTCCCCCCCCTCCCTGCTTGTTAGCTGGCCAGGGAGGGGGGCTCTCATTCCCTGGTGGTCCTGTGGATGGGCTGTGTAGGAGGGGGGCTGGCAGCGAGCTGTAACTTACCTTTCCTGCAGCTCCTGTCAGCTCCCTTCTCTCTCCTCCGGTCCGGTCAGCTCCCCTGCATGTCTTGCGGTCTAAGTGCCGCACGGAGCGTTGCCACGGGCTCTGACCCCGCGGCCTTCACAAGATTTACAGTGGAGCTGACGGACCGGAGGAGAGAGAAGGGAGCTGACAGGAGCTGCAGGAAAGGTAAGTTACAGCTCACTGCCAGCCCCCTCATTACAAGCACGGCGGTCCTGGTCTATATTATGGCAATTTAAGTTGCCATAATACAGACAGTGACTCGAGTGGGGGTTTTTCAGCACAAAAAATGTGCTGAAAAATCCGACTTATACTCTAGTATATATGGTATTTACCTTTTGTGTAAGCATTATAAATTACACACCGTGGCTATAATAAAAATATATGACAGTTTTCCTCTACAGATGGGTCTACAATCATGTCACTTTGACTTAGTGCTTACGTAAATGGAAACAGTAATCCTAGCTTGTTAGTACTGATTAATGATCATATTGTAATTATCTTTTGTTTATATAACTACAATAGATTGTATAATGTTTGCATCAGAATTAATTTTATCTTGCACTGAAGTATGTGGGAGGTAATTCTGCAAATCTCACAGGAAGCTCTAGAATATTTTTTTTGACAGATAAGCAAAGACTCTTCTTAATAATATAGCTAAAGAAGATGGTAAAAGTATCACTCCTTCACTCAGTGTACCATAACTACTGTCATTATGGTTATTACTTTTGGCGGAGCTCATTTAACACTAACTGGGTCATTTTCTATAGTGAGAATGTTTCGGTTTTCCAATTGAATTTCAAATTGAAAGGCAAATTGCTGAATAGGAAAGATTCTCCAAGTTTGCTAAACTTTCAGTTCAAGTGGTCTACATTTTTAAATTTACTTTGGATCCCTACAAATCTCGCTTTTGTGTAAATATTTACTGAATGTATTTTGTAAGGAGCAGGAGGGTGACCAACTTTACCTGCAAGTGGGTGGATTTAGCACCACGACAGTTACAATATACTGTATTAGTTATGTAGCTTGGAGTATCCCTTTATCTATAGGTATCAAATGTTAGAGATTTCTGGTACTACATAAACCGTAACAACAAAATAGAGCAATGGTGAAAAGGATCAGAAGATAATGTCAGACGGAAGCAGGAGCAGGTTGTATATCTGTATTTTTATAAAAATACATTCATCAAATTTTTGTTCTGTGGATTCCAGACAGAGCTTCGATATTTGTTGGATTATTAAATCACAAATAAATATGAGGTTTCCATGTAAAACAAAAATTACATTATGCGCTAACTTATTTTACAAGGTGGTAAATTAGTAGAATAAAAGGACTGTATAGCTGTGAATAAATCACAAGAAATACCAGGGGAGTGCAGTATAAAAGTGACCATAAATAATTCTTATAGCGTAGATTCAATAATTCTGTGTATATCTGTATATAAAATACAATAAAAATACATACATAGGGCAATATTGTAAGAAATATGTATCAATATGTATATGTGTAATCTGCAATGGAACCACTCGCATGAACCGGAGCCTCATATAGCAGGCTCTGGCTTTAGCAGCATGGAGATACAATAGCTTGTGTCCTCTCAGGTAGTCTGGTCATCAATCCCAGGAAACAGGCAGGAGATGGCTTTTTGTAAGCAGAAAAAACATTTTATTGGATCACACAGCCATATTGTATTTTATACACAGAATCCTTGAATGAACGCTATTAGTATTATTTATTGTTACTATTTATATTGCACTCCCCTGGCATTTCTTGTTCACAGCTATACAGTCCTTTTATTCTATACATTTGTTTTGTGCTCCAGTGGGTGATCGGTGGCACTGGGGATTGTTGCATATATTTTGAAGCGCCAAGTTAAACCTCATTGTTACGTGTATTTGGTAAATTAGTAGAATTGACATTGGCAATACTCATCTAAGTATAAGAATATCGAACAGTTTTGTTCCTGAATTAAAATTATCAAAACATGAGAGGCAATTAGCTTATACATAAGGAAGAACTCTATACCTTGTTGTAGCAATTGCACAGAACAAAATATGTTTTTGTTGATATCTTTTTTTTGGTGTGCAAAGTGCTGCATGCAATATACTGTAGGAGGCAGTTTGTATCTAATATCAAATTAAAAAAACACTGTACTGTCTTAAAGTGTCACTATAAGCTTCATATCCACTACAACTCATTAGGTTTATGGTGCTCAGACTCATGTGCCTCTCCAAAGTTCTTATCAACTGGTTTTCGTGTGGCCCCTTATCTGGGCACAGTTAATGCATAAAAGAACTTTCACATAAGCCCATCCATATTTGGATAGCAGTAATGGGCTACAAGAGCAGATGGCGGTTAGCCCAGTACTCTCCCCGCTTATCGTTGTCAGCCAAATTTACTGAAAGAAGGACTGGGCTTTATTCTCCTAAATACTGAATTAACGTTAATCAAAGGGGAAGGTCCTGTGGACATTTTGTACCATGAGCTGTAGTGGTTTTGGTACTGAGAGTGTCCTTTTAATTTCCGGGAAAGGTATACACAGATAGATGCATCTTTTACGCAGACCACATAACGCAAAACTTAAAACAATGTAGGGAATTTGTCAAAGTGTTGTCAACACTTTTACCTCTTTATAATCAGCAAA